ATTTTTATTATAATAAAACATAACATATTCTTTTATTAAATTATGTAACTCCTTTTTTAGGGTTCCGTAACCAAATGGCAAAAACCGGAACCCTTATGGATTCGTCATGTCTGTCTGTCTGTCCGTCCGTCCGTATGTCACAGCCACTCTATTTCGAAACTATAAGAACTATGCTGTTGAAACTTGATATGTTGATGTATTCTGTGAACCGCATTAAAATTTTCACACATAAATAGAAAAAAAAACAAAAAATTTGGGGGTTCCCCATACTTAGAACTGAAACTCAAAAATTTTTTTTTCATCAAAACTATACGTGTGTGGTATCTGTGGATAGGTCTTCAAAAATGGTATTGAGGTTTCTAATATCATTTTTTTCTAAACTGAATAGTTTGCGTGAGAGACACTTCCAAAGTGGTAAAATGCGTCCCCCCCCCCTAACTTCTAAAATAAGAGAATGATAAAACTAAAAAAAATATATGATGTACATTATCATGTAAACTTCCACCGAAAATTGATTTCAACGAAATCTAGTAAGTAGTTTTTTTTTAATGCGTCATAAATCATAAACCGCAATTTACCTTTAATTCTATCAACTCAAAAATAAAAAAAAATACACTATTATTAATATTTTTATTCCCCGTGTAGTGGCGGTTAAGAATATCCACTACCCCATATCTTCCCGTGGGTGTCGTAAAAGGCGACAAAGGGAAACAGGCAGGAGATGGGCAGCAGCATCTTCCTGATAATAGCCAAAATAACAATAAAAAAAAACTGCGGTTGCCAACCCGCTCGCCAAGCGTGGCAACTATGGCAATATACTCCCCATGAGCAATGACAATAATAAACGGCCCCCAGTCCCCGGCGGCCCCGCTATTCCTGGCTACGGTGGCGACCATGGTAACGGCGGGGCAGGGGGTGCTAAGAATCTCCGGTGGAGGTTCGGTTGCCACCTACGACGACTCGACCTGGCAACATACAACGCACGCACCCTGAGGACTGACGAGAAGATTGTGGAGCTGGAAGAAGAGATAGACAAGTTACGCTGGCATATTATAGGATTATCCGAAGTCCGAAGAGAGGGGGAGGACACGGTAATCCTCGAATCCGGCAACTTGCTCTATTACCGGGAGGGCGGCCATCTGTCCCAAGGAGGTGTCGGATTTATCGTCCACAAGTCTCTCGTTAACAACGTTGTAAAGATTGAGAGTGTGTCGACGAGGGTTGCGTACCTTATACTCAGAATCACCAAACGGTATTCGCTGAAGGTCATACAGGTTTACGCACCAACCTCGGCACACCCCGATCAGGAGGTGGAGGAAATGTATGAGGATATCTCTAGAGCCATGCATTCCTCCAAAACCCAATATACGGTGTTAATGGGAGACTTCAATACAAAACTAGGCACAAGAGAGAACGGTGAGCTGAAAGTAGGGAAATTTGGAATAGGGCAACGGAACCCAAGGCGCCAGCAGTTGGCTGACTTCATGGAGAAAGAGGGACTCTTTATGATGAACTCTTTCTTCCAGAAGCGGCCCCACAGGAAGTGGACCTGGTCGAGCCCCGACGGTTCGACAAAAAATGAGATTGACTTCATTATGACGACCAGACGACAACTGTTCAGTGATGTCTCAGTGATCGCGAGGGTGAAAACCGGCAGCGATCACCGAATGGTTAGAGGCACACTGAACCTAAACGTTAAGTTGGAGAGGTCTCGTCTAATGAAGTCAACGCTCCGTCCCCCTCGTGCTCTAATCCAAAGTCCCGAAACCTTTCAGCTCGAGTTACAAAACCGTTTTCAGTGCCTAGAAGACTGCAATGAAGTGGACGATTTGAATGACAAGCTCGTGGAAACTGTCCATGCGGTCGGAGCTAAGTTCTGCAAGACCCGCCGCAGAAGAACACAAAAACTCTCCGATCACACTCTTAATCTCATGGCTGTTAGACGGGAGATGAAGCTACATTCTTCAACAGATTTGACAGCATACAGGCAACTGAACAGACAGATCTCCAAATGCATGCGGCGGGACTTACGCAAATTCAATACAGCTCGTATTGAAGAAGCGATCGAGCGGAACCAAGGCTCCAAAGTCTTTGCCAGAGATCTGTCTGCCAGAAAGCGCCAACTGTCAAAGCTGAAGACAGAATGTGGCAGCATTGTTTCCGGGGCACCTGAGATTTTGAGTGAGATTGAGAGGTTCTATGGGCAGCTGTACACGTCATCGTTGGAGCCGCACGCAAATGTGAGTAACGATCCAAGAGCGAGTCTTATCCGACATTATTCCGATGATATCCCGGACGTCAGTCTGAGCGAGATTAGAATGGCTCTCCAGCACCTTAAAAACGGCAAGGCCCCAGGCGAGGATGGAATTACAGCGGAGCTTCTGAAAGCGGGTGGAAAACCGGTACTTGAAGTCCTTCAGAAGCTCTTTAATTCCGTCCTCCATGGTGGCATTACACCGGAGACGCGGAGCAGAAGTGCGGTGGTCTTGTTCTCCAAGAAAGGCGACAACGCTCTCTTGAAGAACTACAGACCGATTTCCCTTCTGGGCCGCGTCTACGTGCTGTTTTCGAGAGTCATTACGAATCGTCTCGCGCGCAGACTTGACGACTTCCAGCCTCCCGAACAAGCCGGTTTCCGAAAAGGCTTTAGCACCATAGACCACATACATACCCTTCGGCAAATTGTACAGAAGTCCGAGGAGTACAATTTGCCACTATGCCTGGCGTATGTGGACTATGAGAAAGCCTTTGATTCCGTCGAAATTTGGGCGGTGCTGCAGTCCCTTCAGCGATGCCAAGTTGACTGTCGGTATATCGAAGTGTTGAAGTGCTTGTACAGTAGGGCTACGATGGCTATCCGAGTACAGAACCAAAGTACGAAACCTATCCAATTGCAGAGAGGTGTAAGACAGGGTGACGTCATATCCCCGAAACTCTTTACCGCTGCATTGGAAGATGTTTTCAAGCTTCTGGACTGGAAAGGATACGGTATCAACATCAATGGCGAATACATCACTCACCTTCGATTTGCCGACGATATAGTCCTTATGGCAGAATCGCTGGAGGACCTAAGCACTATGCTCAATGACCTCAATAGTGTTTCCCAACGGATAGGTCTTAAGATGAACATGGACAAAACAAAGATCATGTTTAATGTCCATGTCACACCTATGCCGGTAGTTGTTGGGAGCACTAAGCTCGAAGTTGTTGACGAGTATGTTTACCTGGGACAAATAGTCCGACTAGGTAAGTCCAACTTCGACCGAGAGGTCAATCGACGGATTCAACTCGGCTGGGCAGCGTTCGGGAAATTACGGCACATCTTCTCGTCAAGTATACCTCAAAACTTGAAAACGAGACTTTACACCCAGTGCGTGTTGCCAGTGATGACATACGGAACTGAGACGTGGTCCTTCACTGCTGGCCGGATGAGGAAGCTCAAGGTCGCTCAGCGAGCTATGGAGAGGGCTATGCTCGGAGTTTCTCTGCGTGATAGACTCAGAAATGAGGATATCCGCAGTAGAACTGGAGTGACCGACATAGCCCAACGGATTAGTAAGCTGAAGTGGCAATGGGCCGGCCATATAGCTCGAAGAACCGACAACCGATGGGGAAGAAAGGTTCTCGAGTGGCAGCCTCGTACCGGCAGGCGAAGTGTAGGGCGTCCCCCCACTAGATGGAGTGACGACCTGGTAAGATATGCAGGAAGTCGATGGATGCAGGTGGCTCAGGACCGTGCTTTGTGGCATTCTTTGGGGGAGGCCTATGTTCAGCAGTGGACTTGTGAAGGGCTATAATGATGATGATGATGATGATTATTAATACATCCATCAAAGTTACAACGAACTACAAGAACTTTTATATTATGTTACTTGCTGTTACGGAACCCTTCATGGGCGAGTCCGACTCGCACTTGGCCGCTTTTTTTTGCCTACAGTGCTGTTTCAATTCCATAAATAATAGGCGCCGTATATTTTTATTACCACTATAGAGTCAGCTAGCTATCAAAGGCGTACTAAATAGTTAGGTGGAATATAGAGAAATAGCAGGGAGAGCTGTAACATAACTGTTCTAACGTCCTAACTTCCTAATACACTAGGTGTATAAGGTGTATAATAGGTCTTTACCTATGAAATTGCCGTTCTGCAATACTGGCCATTTCAGATCAAAATAATTTTTGTTTGGCTAAGAATTGTCATTTCAAATTAATTTTATTTTAAACATGGAATTCCTTATCCATGTTTGAAAGTAAAATTCCATTACGAGTGATTATGGAATATGAGTACCGTCGTGGCAGCAACGCGGCACAAGCGGCACACAACATCAACGACGTATGCGGAGCAAATACTATAAACAAACGCATCACCTGTTATTGGTTTGGCTTGAAGAATAAACCCTGTGGTCGTTCGAAAACTTTGGTCGACAATGACGAATTAAAGGCGATTGTGGAAGCTGATGATACTTAATCTACGGCTGAATTAGCAGCAGCTAGCGACGTTAGCATCAAAACAATATTGGACCATTTGCGTCAAATTGACAAGGTAAAAAAGCTTGACAAATGAGTGCCCCACGAAGTCAACAATGATCGCCAGCGTGAAGTACGCATCGAGACGTGCCTTGCACTGCTCGACAGGCATAGAAACGAAATAATTTTGAACCGCATTGTTACCTGCGACGAAACATGTTTTCTGTTTGATAATCGCAAGCGCCCAGCAAGTTAGTTGGATCCTGGTTCAGCACCTAAACAATGCCCTAAACGAAAACCTACCCCTAGAAAACTGATGGTCACTGTTTGGTGGTCTAGCGCCGGTGTGATTCATCATATGTCATATTTTTTTCACCAGTCGTAACTACGACGGGGAGCATCAAAGGTGCGAGACATCTGGTACATTCGACTGACGTTTGTGTTGCCATAGATTTTTTAGATTATTATTAGATATATTTAGATTATTATTCTGGTTTATTGTAGTTAAAAAAATCTAAACTTCCTTCGGTTTCAGGTGTGGAACATTCAATCCGCCCTCGAGATTTTATCTGTGGTAATGGAGTACAGCGACACAAGAATACTGGATTATTTGTACGGAATCGTGGATGATGTAAGTTATCATAAAAATATATATACTAGCCGGCCAGGCAGACGTTGTTCTGCCCTCTCCGACGACCCTGTATCCTATAAAAATTCTTAAATTCGTAATAAAAAATATTGAGGGTCATTATATATATTTATAGGGATAAAAACTATCCTATCTCTCAAGTTGGAGCAAACTGCACATAATGTGCAAAATTTCATTGCAATAAGTTTAGTAGTTTAGGAGTTCATCGTGGACAAACAATGTGACACGTAATTTTTATATATAAAGATATTAGTTTGAAAATATATAAAATTCAAGACATCACGTCATCAAAATATCTAGGCATAACTCCTCAAAGTAAAAAACGCTTATTTATTGAAGTAATATGTACTACGTACTAAAACGGATACCGCGAACAGAATATGTTGTGGGTTGTGGCAGTGCGGGGCGCGTTAAAGGAGGCACAGAGGACCTTTTCATGGCGAGTTCGAGTGTAGTGGCGGTGTAAGAATATCCACTACCCGATATCATCTCAAGGGTGTCGTAAGAGGCGACAGAGGGAAACAAATCAAGAGATGGACAGCAATGTCTTCCTAATAACGACTAAAAATAAAACTGCGGTTGCTAACCCGCTCATCAAGCGTGGCGACTGTGGCTTATAGGATATTGAAAGATGAGAAATCTATGGGGGAGACCTATGTTCAGCAGTGGATCTTAATTGGTTGTAACAGTACGGTGTAACGTTAACGGTGATCAGAGTCTAGGCGTCTTTAATAGTACGTATTATATATTACTTCAATGCTTATTATACAAAATGTTGGTATGTGCCGTGACTCGAGTGGCGCGGAGTGGAGAGGACAGGACCTTGCCATTACGCTTGGCTTGGAATTTAATACGAGTTAGACACAAAATTTGTGCTAAACTAAATAAAGAAATATAATTTTCTTGTGACGTTAAAAACCAACTTCATTCGAATAAAACTTAATGCTAATCAAAGGAAGGTGTGGCTGTGAAAGAAATATTAGTAGTATAGTTGTAGCACGAATGGGTCGGCTCGACCGGGGACGGACCACGCTCTCACAGAATACCAGCGTAAAGTAGCAGCTTGACACTGCTGTGTTTCGTATGGTGAGTGTAGAGAACCGGAGACCCATTTTACTGGAAAAGAGGCATTCCATCATAGTCCTCACGGGTGACGACGCATCTGCATTTTGATTCTTTATTGAGGATAGATGTAGATGTCTAGGGGCCACAGCAACCACTTATCATCAGGTGGCCTTTGCGCTCGTTTGTCACCCTATCCTATAAAAAAAAGATTTCGATGTATTTCGCTTGTGGCGCGACTACAACGTCGCGTCAAAGACAAAGGGACATTTTGGCAAGGACAACAAACGAGCACAGTCCACCTAATAGTAAGGGGGCTGTGGTCCACTACTTCTCCTACTTATCTTAGACTACGAATCAAACTGCAGAGATGCGCTGTCACCCCTGAGGATTAAGATGGAATATCTTGCTGCCACTAAAAAGGATCTCCGGTTCTCATCAAGAACCATATAATATCAACAATATCAATATCACAGCAGCTTAAAGCGGCTATTTCACGCTGATATATTGTGCGAGATAATCTTTCTCCGGTAGAGTTGATAAATAAGAAAAAATAGAACGAGTTATATGAACGGCGTGTCAAAAAGAAAAACACATATCTTTATTTAAAAAACAAATTTTTAAAGGTTTCTGTCCCTTTATAGGTTTCCGTACCCCAAAGGGACTATTACTAAGCTTTCGCTGTCTCTCCGTCTGTCTGTCAGCAGGCTGTATCTCATGATCCGTAATAGGTAGACAGATGAAATTTTCACAGAATGTCTATTTCTGTAGCCGCTACAACAACAAATAATAAAAATAAATTAAAAACTAAAGGGTGCTCCCATACTAGAAACGTGTTTTACGATGGTACGAAAACCTTCATGCGCGAGTCCGACTCGCACTTAGCCGGTTATTTAGATTGGTTTTCCATCCATTCATTACAGCCCACAAAAGACTAAGCTAAACATAGGCCTCCCCAATAGGTAGACTCATAGATTTTGCCATAGTTGCCATGCTTGGGTTGGCAACCACAGTTTTTTTTTATAATTTTTAGTTGTTATCGGAAAGATGCTGCTGCCCATCCTCTATTTCAGTTTCCCTCTGTCACCTCTTACGCCATCCACGGGATAATATACGACAGTGGATATTCTTACACCGAGTCCACTCAATTGGTTTTTATATATTGCTAAATAATTATCGACAGGTTCTCGTTCAAAGCTGCGATAAGTTTCACGAGAGAGATCTCTACGCATACCTGCAAGTGTTTCTTACTTTCATCACTCGCATTCGAAAGTGGTTTCACGTTGAAGAAGATTCAAAAACCACTACATGTAACAAAACAGAAAACTTCAGCGTGCTCAAAGGTGTTATAGAGTTTGCCAAGAACAAAGAAGAAGCGGAGAGATTATTAAGCAAGGAAGAGTTCGAGGAGGATTGCGGGAAGAGTGTGGAGGAGATGTACAGAGAAGATTTGAAGAAAAAAGAAGAAGACGTGTTAGATTATGACGACAGAGTTACACGTAAGTTATTAATATTATAATATTTTTTATTCTGATATGATCTGTCTGAATAAAAGATGATAGACAGTAACTGAGAGACACCACAAAAAATTGATAAATAATAACCTGCGTACACCAAATTTACTTTTTTATATGATGATTTGACTCACATCACGGAATACCAGCGTGAAACAAAAGCTTAATGCTGTTGTGTTTCATAAGAAGTTTTGTGCCAAACCCGATCGAAGGCTTTCCCAATGTCCAGACATAGGGCCAAGGCCTCTCCCTTGGACTCTACTGCTTCCGCCCATCCATGAATCAGTTAGATCAGAAGATCACCAACTGGTGATCTGGTCATCAAAGTAGTTAAAGTTTTGGCACGCGCGCCAGCTGCTCGTACACGACCGACAACCATGTTGAACGGTCAAACACTGGAGCGGCTGCCGCGCGCGTCAGGTGTGCTTAGATGATACACTTGGAACATTTGGAGCGCGTTCCGCAGAGCGCACTGGTCGGGCCGGTCATACATAGCGCGCGCGCCAGGAGCGCGTAATCAATACGCGGCCAAACCCTTTTAAAGGGCGGGAGGTAGGCCTCCGGCCACCTGAATCCTTTTCTTTGTTTGAAGTTGATTGCATGTGTCCGTGAACCGCAGTGCTCTCTTACCATCAGAACCGTAAATTCGTCACTTTAGTTTATTTAAAAAAAAAACACTATAACACACCAACATTATTTGCAAACGTGTGATCCTACCTCGGTTGAGCGGACGCATTTGTATATCAGCCATAATATAGTATGGGACTACGTTAATTTACGTATCGAGTCTATTTCCAGACGAATCGCCACCGTTGCAGCGACACGTCACTGTCACCGTGTCGATACTTAAACGATGTATCCATTTTATCACATCCAAGCAACGCGACAACGCTATTTTGGCCTTGAAAGTACTGTCGTTAGGGCTGCCCATCTTGAAGCACCACGAGAATGAGCTACTTCCTCTTGTGCACTTGACGTGGGCTCCGCTCTGTACTAAAGTCGGCGCGGAGCCGGCTGTAGCGAGGGCCGCTTTGGATCTCCTGGTTACCATGGCAACGCTTTCGAAAGACTTCATTCGGAATCGCGCTATGAAGTGAGTAAACTTATCTAATGTTTTCTTCGTTTTTTCGAGGCTATTATGTGTATAAAATAATAGCCTCGAAATGTATGTTTCAAATTTAATATTTTATTTTTAAAGGATTTTTTTCTGCTTTGAGCCTTCTACTTCAATCTATTCTGTTTTTTTTTTCATGAATTCAATCTTTTTAACTTTGACTTTGCCAATAGTGGCGATTAATGCAAATTTTGATAACAATAATAATAATGATAGTGATCTCATTTGTACACCTTTCCGCTCTTGAATATTTAATTATAATTTAAAATTGTCTTCTGCAGAGACGTCCTCCCCCACATGTACAAATATTTGCGAAGCAGTTCCCACGACAGTCTGCTGAAGGACCGGGGCTCCACGTATCGGCTGAGTCCGGCCTACCGGTTGCAGGAGGCGATGTTGGCTGCCCTGCCTTGCCTCGTTGTGGATCTTCGCCTGGACGAGGCTGGACTCGAAGAGGCCATGTCTTGTGCGGACGCTTACTTGTCTAGGAAACAGCCGAAGCCTTTACAGGTGAGTCCTTGATATAGGTATGATAAAAATACCGTTTTTACTTTTTTTTTTCTACGTGGTAGAGCCATGGTGCAGCTATATTAGTAGTATAGTTGTAGCACGAATGGGTCGGCTCGACCGGGGAAGGACCACGCTCTCACAGAAAACCAACGTAAAATAGCAGCTTAACGCTGCTATGTTTCGTATGGTGAGTGTAGAGAACCAGATACCCTTTTTACTGGCAAAGAGGCATTCCATCTTAGTCCTCACGGGTGACAACGCATCTGCATCTTGAGTCTTTATTGAGATAAATATAGATGTCTATGGGTCACAGTAACCACTTACCATGAGGTGGACTGTGTGCTCGTTTGTCACCTGATCCTATAAAAAAAAATTTGATACATTTGAACTGAAATTGTTATGGTGTTGTTACTTTTATTCTACTCGTTTTTCGCCCCATAAAAGTCGTAAACACAGTGACTAAGGCAGAATTAAATAAATAATGGTTTAAAAAACTAAAAAAAAAATATGCTTTTATAGATAACCGAACTAAAAAGTAGAAAATACTTTTCATTAAGTTTATAATAAGAAAATAGTGATGAACATAAAAAAAATAATTTTATTGTAAAAAAGCGTGGAGTGCTTTTTCATATATTTTTACGATGACGGTAATTTTACAAATATCCACAAAAGACATCAAGCACCCCACGAAAGTACTAGAACTCGAGATTACATAACGATAACATATCCAAAGGAGAAAAGGCTTTATAAGTGTATACATAAGGTTGCTTCTTGCTTGCATTAATAGTACGAGCGTTATCTATTTTTATACTTACACATTTTATTTCTGGAAAGTCTCTGGCTCTTATCGTCCGGAACATTCTCGTACAATGTGATGTAATACGCAACTGGTGAGCAAAAATGCCGATTAGGATGGGAAATGGGAATTTTTCAACACACAGCAAGTACACAACCATTTCTTCTTGTTCGGAGAGATCCTTAGTATTCGAATAATTCTTCGATCGCTAGCGCGCGCTTTTATACCCAACAAGGGAAATATAGAACATTCTAGATTTACCTCTTTCAATGGGAAAATACTAGATCACTCGTAATTAACAATAGGTCCAAAGGAGAAAAGTCTTTTAGCGTGTGTCACATAAGATGGTGTTTTGCTTGCATCAACTAGTTTGAGCGTTGTCTATTCTTACGCCTACACATTTTATTAACTTGACAAAGAATATTAACCCTTCTCTTCGGGAAGTTTCTCTTATATTATCCTCGACATGAAATAATAGAAGAAATTTTATGATTATATAAAATTGTTATTATTAATAATCATTCTTAGCACACAATTAATGTGCGAAACGTCTGGCAATATAAACGTCTGGAACAATATTGGCAATCTACCTCAAAAATGGAGGCGATTATGACGAATTCTCCCTACTTTACCATACGTGAGAGCCATGTCCTGTTGTACATATTACGGGCTGATGAGGAACTTGGAATGCTGGTAAGACCATTATAACATATATGTACCTACTTATATTTCTTTTCTAGGAACTGGCGGTGATCTTTTTTAAACACATATTGGCGAGCAACTACGGAGCCGGTTGGTACCACCTAAGGAGCCTCTGCGCTAACGAGGACGTGTTAGAACCACCCGCCATGAAGTACATCAAATTGGAACCTGTTGTAGGCACCCCGTATAGATCCACTGATGTGGATTATGAAAAAAATATCAAATTGATATTTGATATAGATTAAGTATGATATTAAAATAAATAATTATGACTGGACTTATCTTTTCTTTAAAGACTTTATATAATATCCCACAATAGGATTTTTAACCGACTCAAAAATGAGAAGGTTCTTAATAAGAGTGTGATTTTTTTCGTATGTATGTTACGCAATCTTCGTATATTGTGGAGCAATTTTGATGATTTTTTATTGTTAAATAGGTTATACATTAATTCCACCCATATGGGTAGCAAATAAATAACTTATTTTTTGGCAATTTGAAGTCAATCTTTAATTTTTGTTCTTAAAGTTATAATTATTTCTGTATCGGTTCACATATATAAATCGCACGAGAACACAGACCCGAATCAATTGTTTATAGGCCATAAAAATACTTCCAAAAAATACGGTAATTCCAACCGACGGACTTCAGGTACCCAACACAACGCTAAACAAGCAACTGCGTAACAGGTGACAGTTGACAAATTTTTTCGAGGTACGAAGTGTTTAACAGGCAATACTATAACACGCTGAGACGCTAAAAGAATGGAACCGGAGGTATAAAGAGGGAGAGACCGCCAGAACAACTAAAGCCTTTTTGCCGAACGTTGCGTCAGCCCACAAGATAATTAGGGAAACGGCACTGTTTCCGACGATGATCCAGGCAATGACTGGACATGGTGGGTTCTCCGAGTACCTATACCAGTTTCGGTGCAAGAAGAGCCCAACATGCACCTGTGGGCCTGAAATCGAGGAGATCGTGCTGCACATTCTATTGCAGTGCCCTTGATTTGATAAGGCCAGATACGATTTCGAGTCTGAAACCGACGTCAGTTGTATGTACAGATCATAAAAGAAAATTTACACATATTATTGTTAGAAGACGAAGAAGAAGACGCGAAATAAGTTCATCAAATTTTGTGAGGGTGTAGTTAAACATGTCATTAAAAGTAATCAAAATTGAATGATATAATTATAAAATAATTTAATGTGATGAATATTTTAATGTGATAAATATGACTAGTGATTATTACTGATTATTATTATTGTTATTGTTGAAAAAAATGTTGTTAATTGGACTAATTGTTACTGTAATTATAATTTTAGGACTAAATATTTAATTAAGAAATACAATCGGTGCTTCCTTGTGTTTATGCTTATATATACAGAGAGAATGCACTGAATCTAAATTCAAAATTATAGTTTATATACAGTTTGCCGTGTAGTGGCGGTCAAGAATATCCACTACCCCATATCCTCCCGTGGGTGTCGTAAAAGGCGACAAAGGGAAACAGGCAGGAGATGGGCAGCAGCATCTTCCTGATAATAGCCAAATTACAATAAAAAAACTGCGGTTGCCAACCCGCTCGCCAAGCGTGGCAACTATGGCAAATACCCCCTATGAATGACAGTAACAAAAAAACGGCCCCCAGTCCCCGGCGGCCCCGCTATTCCTGGCTACGGTGGCGACCATGGTAACGGCGGGGCAGGGGGTGCTAAGAATCTCCGGTGGAGGTTCGGTTGCCACCTTAGACGACTCGACCTGGCAACGTACAACGCACGCACCCTGAGGACTGACGAGAAGATCGTGGAGCTGGAAGAAGAGATAGACAAGTTGCGCTGGCATATTATAGGATTATCCGAAGTCCGAAGAGAGGGGGAGGACACGGTAATCCTCGAATCCGGCAACTTGCTCTATCACCGGGAGGGCGACCATCTGTCCCAAGGAGGTGTCGGATTTATCGTCCACAAGTCTCTCGTTAACAACGTTGTAAAGATCGGGAGTGTGTCGACGAGGGTTGCGTACCTTATACTCAGAATCACCAAACGGTATTCGCTGAAGGTCATACAGGTTTACGCACCAACCTCGGCACACCCCGATGAGGAGGTGGAGGAAATGTATGAGGATATCTCTAGAGCCATGCATTCCTCCAAAACCCAATATACGGTGTTAATGGGAGACTTCAATGCAAAACTAGGCACAAGAGAGAACGGTGAGCTGAAAGTAGGGAAATTTGGAATAGGGCGACGTAACCCAAGGGGCCAGCAGCTGGCCGACTTCATGGAGAAAGAGGGACTCTTTATGATGAACTCTTTCTTCCAGAAGCGGCCCCACAGGAAGTGGACCTGGTCGAGCCCCGACGGTTCCTCAAAAAATGAGGTTGACTTCATTATGACGACCAGACGACAACTGTTCAGTGATGTCTCCGTGATCGCGAGGGTGAAAACTGGTAGCGATCACCGAATGGTTAGAGGCACACTGAACCTAAACGTTAAGTTGGAGAGGTCTCGTCTAATGAAGTCAACGCTCCGTCCCCCTCGTGCTCTGTTCCAAAGTCCCGAAACCTTTTAGCTCGAGTTACAAAACCGTTTTCAGTGCCTGGAAGACTGCAATGAAGTGGACGATATGAATGACAAGCTCGTGGAAACTGTCCATGCGGTCGGAGCTAAGTTCTGCAAGACCCGCCGCAGAAGAACACAAAAACTCTCCGATCACACTCTTAATCTCATGGCTGTTAGACGGGAGATGAGGCTACATTCTTCAACAGACTTGACAGCATACAGGCATCTGAACAGACAGATCTCCAAAGGCATGCGGCGGGACTTACGCAACTTCAATACAGCTCGTATTGAAGAAGCGATCGAGCGGAACCAAGGCTCCAAAGTCTTTGCCAGAGATCTGTCTGCCAGAAAGAGCCAACTGTCAAAGCTGAAGACAGAATGTGGCAGCATCGTTTCCGGGACACCTGAGATTTTGAGTGAGATTGAGAGGTTCTATAGGCAGCTGTACACATCATCGTTGGAGCCACACGCAAGTGTGAGTTACGATCCAAGAGCGAGTCTCATCCGACACTATTCCGAAGATATCCCGGATGTCAGTCTGAGCGAGATTAGGATGGCTCTCCAGCACCTTAAAAACGGTAAGGCCCCAGGCGAGGATGGAATTACAGCGGAGCTTCTGAAAGCGGGTGGAAGACCGGTACTTGAAGTCCTTCAGAAGCTCTTTAATTCCGTCCTCCATGGTGGCATTACACCGGAGGCGTGGAGCAGAAGTGCGGTGGTCTTGTTCTTCAAGAAAGGTGACAACGCTCTCTTGAAGAACTACAGACCGATTTCCCTTCTGAGCCGCGTCTACGTGCTGTTTTCGAGAGTCATTACGAATCGTCTCGCGCGCAGACTTGACGACTTCCAGCCTCCCGAACAAGCCGGTTTCCGAAAGGGCTTTAGCACCATAGACCACATACATACCCTTCGGCAAGTTGTACAGAAGTCCGAAGAGTACAATTTGCCACTATGTCTGGCGTATGTGGACTATGAGAAAGCCTTTGATTCCGTCGAAATTTGGGCGGTGCTGCAGTCCCTTCAGCGGTGCCAAGTTGACTGTCGGTATATCGAAGTGTTGAAGTGCTTGTACAGTAGGGCTACGATGGCTATCCGAGTACAGAACCAGAGTACGAAACCTATCCAATTGCAGAGAGGTGTAAGACAGGGTGACGTCATATCCCCGAAACTCTTCACCGCTGCATTGGAAGACGTTTTCAAGCTTCTGGACTGGAAAGGATACGGTATCAACATCAATGGCGAGTACATCACTCACCTTCGATTTGCCGACGATATAGTCCTTATGGCAGAATCGCTGGAGGACCTAAGCAATATGCTCAATGACCTCAATAGTGTTTCCCAACTGATAGGTCTTAAGATGAACATGGACAAAACAAAGATCATGTTTAATGTCCATGTCACACCTATGCCGGTAGTTGTTGGGAGCACTAAGCTCGAAGTTGTTGACGAGTATGTTTACCTGGGACAAATAGTCCGACTGGGTAAGTCCAACTTCGACCGAGAGGTCAATCGACGGATTCAACTCGGCTGGGCAGCGTTCGGGAAGCTACGACACATCTTCTCGTCAGACATACCTCAAAACCTTAAAACGAAATTGTACAACCAGTGCGTGTTGCCAGTGATGACTTACGGAACTGAGACGTGGTCCTTCACTGCTGGCCGTATGAGGAAGCTCAAGGTCGCTCAGCGAGCTATGGAGAGGGCTATGCTCGGAGTTTCTCTGCGTGATAAACTTAGGAATGAGGATATCCGCAGTAGAACCAGAGTGACCGACATAGCCCAACGGATTAGTAAGCTGAAGTGGCAGTGGGCCGGCCATATAGCTCGAAGAACCGACAACCGATGGGGAAGAAAGGTTCTCGAGTGGCAGCCTCGTACCGGTAGGCGAAGTGTAGGGCGTCCCCCCACGAGATGGAGTGACGACCTGGTAAGACATGCAGGAAGTCGATGGATGCAGGTGGCTCAGGACCGTGTTTTGTGGCATTCTTTGGGGGAGGCCTATGTTCAGCAGTGGACTTGTGAAGGGCTGTAATGATGATGACAAATTGTATGTTGTGTGTATGTATAAGTAAGAGCCAAATGTTTTTGCATGCATTAAATTAAGAGTAGTAGGACTCCCGAACGAAAACCTTACTTCCTCTACAGCCTCTATAAAAATTAAGGATAAAGTAAATAAAAACACGAATTCAAAGTCCATGTCAAGCTGACAATGTCTTTGACCTCCATGAGGGAAACAGCAAAACATACATAAAAAAATACTACAAAACTATGACATTATGTAAGATTTTTAGGGTTCGAATCCTGCAGCGCTACCCCACTAAGATGTTAAAGCTGTCTTTTTTATCTATTCTTAGTTTCATCCAGAGCCATCTAAATTCTAAACGGTGGCCATGACTATCGTGGAGTGTCCGAGCCGCGAATGATGTAAAAACACACAGTATGTAATATTATCAAGAAATCAGCCATCGACAGTTCTTTTTATTTAGCAACTGCTTAGCTTTAGTCTTAACTTGTCTTCGCCTGGGCGGAATCTATTAATGTGGCGTTATTTACATTTAAGATAATTATCAAAGACCATTTTTAACAACTTTTATTTCAGTGTGTCTCCTGTGATTGCTCTCTATCTGTTCGTTAAGTTTCATTACAATCGGTTCAGCCATTCCGAAGATCAGCTCACACCAATA